AAAAACCTCTTTCGGCGGCCGGTTCCAGCGCCGGAGAGCCGGAGCGTGGGGAGCCGGGACGCGGGGACGGCCGTACCAACGGGCCCCTTCTGGTTGCTGAACAGGAGTGTGCGGTTGCTGCCATCCATGTTGGCCACACTGATGTTGTCCCCGTCCGTCCAGTAGAGCTTCCTGCAGCCGCGGGAGCGCGGTGAGTGCGGCGGATGTGACAGAGCGACCCTCCTCCCCAGGCTCCGCCAGCGCCCGCCGTTCCGGCAGGCACCAGCCCATGTCCTCCTCCCTTGGCGCCACGTAGCCAGGCCCAGCCGGGGAAAGCGCTGGGAGCATTTGCAAGCACAGAGCTGCAGCCGGGCCCTTCCTTCCGCGCCCACCCGAGCGGCGACCCTGCTCCCCTCCTCGCGGTTCTCCCACTTGCGCTGACACGTGCAACGTGCAAGTTGCTCCCCGCAGCCCTGCGCACGTGCGCCCGAGCTGGCATGCGCACCCGCGCACGCCCCTTCGTTTCCTTTGACGCCCCCCAGCCCTCTGCGCCCGCCGTCACCACGTGCACCGAGCCGCAGTGCCCCCGCCGCAGCACCCACCCTTGCAGCGGGTGGACCACCAAGCAGTGAGGCTTGTCCAGCCCCTGGATCACGGCGTTCTTGAAGGAGCCATCCAGCCGCGCCACATTGATCTGCTTCTTGTTGGCGTCGTAGCTGGTCCAAAAGAGGTTCCTGGACACCCAGTCCACAGAGAGGCCGTGCGCGTTGGGCAGGTCTGCAAGATGAAGGGACACTCATTAATTGCGGGGCCGGAATGAGTCACCACAGCGGCCACGGCTGGCACCAGTGGGGAGGGCAGAGGGGGCTCCTCCTTGCCCACCTGCAGAGACCACAGTCTCCACGCCGGTGCCGTTGATGAAGGCTCGCTTGATGGTCTGGGTGCGCACGTCGGACCAGTAGATGCGCTGCTCCAGGGCGTCGTAGTCCACCACGGTGACGTTGTCGATGTCGGGCACCGTGAAGGAGATGATGTAGTTGTAGTAGGGGTTGTCGATGTCCACGCCGCGGATCTCCATCTGCCGTGCGTACAGCAGGAACTTTTTAAACTCTGGGGAGAAGGAGCGAGATGGGACAGTCGTGTGAGCTTGCCCAGAGCCGCAGCCGGGTGCGCTCCTCTGCACAGCAGAGCCCGAGACGCGTCCTACCGTAGCAGGTCGTGTTGTCCTTGTCCAGTTTCATGAGGTGGGGACAGGCGCACGACAGGGAGCGGTTGTAGTTGATGAGGCAGAGGTGGGAGCAGGGCCCTTTGCCCCCGTTGGCTTCGCAGGGATTCGGTGCTGCGTGGGTGGAGGACGCTCAGTGCCGGCCCCCTGCGTCGCAGCCACAACTGCCCCGGCCCGAGAGCCCACGGCCACCCCGGACACAAGTGGAGCCGCCATGGGCCTGCATCGGCCCAGGGCTGCCTCTACCCCGGGACAGCTTTTAGTGAAAACTGGTGAAGCACGCAGGTGCAAACAACTCGCCCGCTCCACAGCAAGTGGACGTGAGCGCCATGTCCCCCCCGTGCCGCCGCCAGCCTCCCATGGGCTCACCCAGCGGCTGCCGGGACGGGGGGTAGACCTTGGTAGACCTGCAGGTCGAAGGGCTGCGTGTTGGTCCTCTGCACAACCGTGACGTTGTGCCCCGTCCACTTGTTGGCCTTGGCCAGCGTGTTGGTGCGCCAGTCGGTCCAGTAGACCTCGCCCCCGTAGAGGGTGACGGCGAAGGGGTGAGACAGGTACTCGTGGCCCCGCAGCACCTCGATGTGCCCCGTGCCGTCATATAGAGCGGAGTAGATCGCGTCCGACCTGTGCCCCAGCGGAGACGGGGAGAGGGGGACAAGCGGTGAGACCACCGGGCACAGGCCAAGCCACCTGCAGAGGCCAGGTCACCACTGCTCCTGCCCCGCGAAAACCCGGAGAAACGGGAGAAACCCGCAGAGCGGCCGGAGCAGCCGTGGGCACCATCGGAACGCGAGCGAGGGCTCTGCCCCATGCCGGAGTGCAAGAGCTGAGCAGCACGGGAGAGGACAGGGCAGGAGGGACGGGCGCGGGGC